TTGTATATCGTGCCTTGGCCCTTGGTTCCCACGGTTGGCTGTTTTTCGTGCCTTGGCTCCTTGGTTTCCACGGTTGACTGTTTTTCGTGACTTGGCCCCTTGGTTTCCATGGTTGGCTGCTGGTTTTCTGTGCTGGGTGGCCTTCCCGTGTCTTTGGTGCCTCGATTCCGTGCGGGCCTCTTTGGTTCCTGCGGCTGCCTCTTCGGGTCCCTGGCTGGGCTGCTTTCTCGTGGGTGTTGGGGGCTTTTTCGTGGCTTGTGGTGCTTTGTTTCCTATATAGATTTGGGGGAAGGAAGTAAAGTGGCTGTTGGCTTTTCATTTCTCTCATTTAATTAAGAATATGAAGGGTTTTTGGGGCTGTTTGGTTTCTCCTCTCTTGCCTATAAATATGAGATGTTTTGAGAGGGAATGAGAGTTGATTATGGAGAGCAAAGTTGCTAAAACCCTGAGGGTTCTTCTTGGAAAAGCTTGAGAGCTTGTTCCATTCTCCTTCTCCTCTAGGAAAGCTTGCGAGCTTCTCCTCTTTCGTCTCGGCTTCTTATGTCTTTCGTCTCTCCGCAAGTTCCACTCCATTTGTATCCTTCTTCTTGAGCTTTGGTGGTGTTTGTTGGCTGATTTGGGAGTATTTGCTGGAGGAGTTTGGATTGGACGGTTGGACAATCTTGCTGTGGTGGACTATCGGTTTGCTAGCCCTAAGCACTATTTAACTTTAACCTATATTTCGATGCATGTGAGGAACCCGCTCTGACGGTTGTCTGGGATAGCGTTTATTATTATTATTATTATTTTCTTTGTTTCTTTTGACTTAATTTCTTCTAGTTTTTTTCATCAGATTTTGGATGTTATAGATGATTGCTACTATTTGAATCGAGCTTGGTTTAGTTCTGCCCATTGTGCTCCTTGTTTTGGCTTTTCTAACTAGTGTGCTTGCATCACATACCTAGCCAATCCACATGCTAATTATGTGTGTCCTTAAGTGGAATTTAGAGTTGTCGGATTTTATTGAATACTCAGTGCAAGATTTCTTTAGCTTTGAATCCTTGAGGATGGCTATCAATTTATTAAATAGTAACAGCGACAAGCGATTGCCTCATTTGTCAACCATTTGGTGGTCGTTCTCCTAAAATTAATGTCAGTCTTGAGAAAGGCAAGTGTTAGAACTAAGGGAATATAAATAGAGGTCCCAAATGGTTTTTAAAGTGTATGTTTAACGTCTTTAGGCAACTATCAGTATGAATTGATGAAAAATGAGAATCTATAAAGCCGAAATCAGATAATTGGGATAATATTAATGATGATGATGCATTGCTATTACTCGAGAATAAATTGTTGGGGAGTTATGAAGTTCTGACTGAATATTATTGTTTTAAAATCCCCTTTATAATATCACAAGCATGACGTGTGAATCATATTATTTTTTAGTTGGATTCCTGTAACTTGGATGCCTGAAACCTGAATTGTGGGGCAGATGGGCGGAGTAAATGGCAATGCATAATTAAAACTTGCATTTAGTGAGTAATCAGTAATGCAGATTGAGGGAGTAGAAATTACTTTGCTTGAAATCAACTCTTAATTGCTTGAAACTAGTTGGAAATGAATACGTTTCATTTTTTACCATGTTTTTTAATTAAAACATGTAGCATGATTAAATTTTAGCATATTAATTTAACCAAGATTGGTTTTAGCAAATTTATTCATCAATGCTGATGAAGTTGTTTTGCAGCCGGTGTTATTGAGCAGGAATGTCTTAGTTTTTAGATCTTATTTTAGATGGTTTACACGGTGTGAATCCAGTGGCGGAGCCAGAAATTTTATTCAGGGGGGGCTAAATTAAAAATAGTTCTATTTGTCGTCTTATTACTACAGCCAGAGGAGATGTAAGATCAAAATTAAAAATGCAAATAACATGACTCTTAGAGCTTATAGAAGACATAAATATCTGCCACGGGCGGTCTCCATTTGGGAGTGAGAGAGGAGCGAAAGGGAAAATGAAAGTCGTACTCGAAGTCGTGAGTCGCGAGTCGTGAGAGATGAGCAAAGGGGAAAACGAAGCAGGCCGTTTGGGTCGAGGGCTAAAATTTACTCGATATTCTTTAAAATATTTTCATTTCAACTAATTTAAGTAAGTTTTAAATTCAATCATTTTAATACCATTTCAGCTAAAATTTACTTGATATACTTTGAAGTAAAGTTTCAAATAAAAATTAAAGATTTTAACTAAAACTTTTGTAATTTTTTTAATGAGATTTTAATAAAAATATATTAATGAAGGAAATATATTAATTGTAGAGGACAACACATTTAAAATATATCTAAATATACATATAGGAGGGTGGCGTTAACATCAAAAAAAAAAAAAATGGTGGATGGCCAAATTCCCTTTGCTTGATGGTTAAATTTACATATTAATATTTATGCTTTTCCAAGGCCGGTCCTTTTAGTCTACACATCCTCTCAAACTGTTTTTTTTTTTTTTAGGGGGGGCACGTGCCCCCCCTTGCCCCCCCTCCCTCCGCCCATGTGTGAATCGAAGTTGTATCTATGTGAGGAAATTGCTTTGGGTGATCAAACTCCTTCCAGCGGAAGGTTGTGATTCCAAGTTGTTTCTTAGTGAGGTGAGTGCTTTTAGGTGATCGAACTCCTTCCAACGGAGGGGATTTTTTTCCCAAACTGGTAAAAAAGAAAAGCTGATTGACGAATTGATTCATGTAACCTCTCTAAAAAATTTCTATAATTAAGTATGAAATAACACATTAAAAGTCTTTTTTGCCGTAGATTGCCCAAAATTGTATTCCCATGTTCTTAACAAAAAGACATTTGAGCTTTTTTTTTCCCGGTTCATAGCTCATTGAGAACACCAAAAGAGGGAACTATTTCCCAAGCTTTTACCACCTAATTTATTTTCAAAATATTTCCAATTTCTCTAAACAAAACGGCTTTAGCTTTTATTATTTGTTATTGGAATGTGAGAGTGAATTTGTTATTATTGAAGATGAGTTGGTTCTACTCTTTGCAAGCTTTGTTGATATCATTATCGTGATTTAGATACATGTAGGTTTTACTGATTTGCCTTCTTAATGAATCATATCTGCTCGTGCTAATATGTCTTATGCAGATATCAAATTTAATACCTTTATGTTGCATAATCTGATGGTATTCGCGATGCTTGTGTCGGCATTCCGAATTGTTGTTTGCAATCAAAATGGCTTGGAAGGCACAGATCTCATCATTACGATCTTTTTATCCTTGTTAATTAGACTTTGGATAAAACATAAACTGAAATAGCTATTTTTCTTGCTTCCGACTTATTTGCCGTTCCTCCAACCATTTCGGAGAAAACAAAGCCCATTTTCATCAGTTTGATTATTCAGTTTATTCTTGTAAAGTGTTTGACAATGATGGAGGCAAACTAGAAAGAAAGAGCCAAGGTATGAGAACACTAGGACAAGTATAACAAAACTCAATTCAAACTAGAATGCAGATATCCAAATAAACACCAAAACAAATGAAAGCAAACAAACGAAACAAAATTAAAAATAAAAAACACCATCCTCAGAATAACCGGCAAGCGGTTTCCTCACATGAAACGAAAAGTAGGTAAAATAAGATAAGTGCTTAAGGGCTTGCAAATCAAGGGTCCACCACAGCTACAATGTCCAACATCCAACAAAGCTCTTCCGGCAAATGTCACCAAATCAGCCAACAAACACCTCCAATAGCTCAAGAAGAAGGATACAAGTGGAGTGGAACTTGTGGAGAGAAGAAGAGGTTAGAGGCCCAAGACGAAATAGAGAGGAGGAAGAGAGAAATGGAATAAGCTCTCAAGCTTTTCCAAGGAAGAAGAAACCCTCAAATTTTATAGAGACTTTACTCAAATATTCAACAACCTCATGTCTAAAACATCTCCAATTTATAAGAGAAGGGGGCAGCCAAACAACCATTCAACCTCCAACCGAACCAATCAGGTAAGGGGAACTAGAAGGCCAAAAATCATTCCATAACAACACTCGAAAAGGCCACAGAAAATCGGATAAAGCAGCCACGGTACAAGCAGTTAGGGGAGAAACCGAAGGGGCAGCACAGGGAACCAAAACCATCACCCAAGAAGGGAGAGAAAGAACTAGCCACGGGAAACAACACCAGGAAGAAACCGGGGGGACACAGAGAAGGGGAAAAGGCAAAGATCCAACTCCACTTAATGAGCTAATAAGAGGAATACCTTTTCATATTAATGAGCTAAACATCAGCTCAAGCATTTATGAGCTAGAAACAAGTAGCTTCCAAAGAACACAACCCAAACCCGAGCAGCCAAGGTCTAACCCGAGAGGCAACCAGCAGCCCAAAGACCAAAGAACCCAAGTAGCTAGCACACCCAAGGTTTTCCATGCCCAAGCATTACCTACCATGATCATTGAATGTTTTCCATCATAGGTAGCATTAAAAAAAAAAAAAAACTAAAAAAATTATAATATTCAAATTACAATAAAAAATGAAAATAAACTGAAATTTGCATGCATCAGACAGTCACCACACATCCGCGTTCTTTGTTATTTGTGTCGGCTTCTGCTTTTTTTATTTTGTTGGCCTTCTTTGTTGCTGCAATAAACAAGCCATATGTAGCAAATTTATATTATTGCATGCAATAGTCTAGATGGTGATGACAAATGTTTGAACTTTGACCTTGAACTATTGGCCTATAAATTTAGAATTCTTTTGAACCTTAATGCTTAGTTTGGGACGGCTTTTTTATTGCTTCTTAAAGTAGCTTTTTAAGTACCAAAAATTTATTTTTTGTATTATAATGCTGCTTTTAGAAGCATTAAAAAAGCTGTCTCAAACGAAGCCTAAATCTTGAAGAACGCAAGTGGGTCATTGTTCTTGTTCCAGCAACTGCAGACCATGAAGAATACACCCGTAATGCTGCATACGCTGTCTTTGATAACGAGTGTTCTTTGAAATGCACTGTTGTGATGACGGGCATCAGTGATTTTCATGTACAGGTATAATGAAGATGATCAACCAGTTTGCAGAGTTTGCAATGTTGCTTTGAGATCAGATTCATTGTGGCCAGCACACCAGGCTTCTAGAAAGCACCACGAGGTGAAAAAGTTTTTATTATTCTCTTTCTTTTTTTCTATCATGCCATTTGTACCTAGTTACATTACTCTCTATGTTAGCGTGCACATTGCACCTGGCAAGCTTGAATGATATTATATTCTTCCCAGAATCACTCCTATTGAAGAACAAATTTGAAGATTATCTGATTGAGCTAAAAAGTTTACATCCAGTTGATTCACTAATTTTTTTCTCTTAAAGACTTAATCTTATTACCTGGAAGTAAGTTTTCTCCAATTTAATCTCAGAAAAGGTGTGAATCAACTTTAAACCATTATTAAGAAAAAAACTAGAAACATGAAGGGAGAGCTATTTAGGAAGGTTTATAATCATACTTGTCAATAGCGCATGGCGCGGCGTGGCGCACATGTTCATGTTGGCGTGCGCCATGTGTGCATATGGCACACGGCACACGCAATTTGAATTTTAGGAATTTTTTGATATAATTATAATTACTTTTTAATATTTATATATTTTAATTTATAAAATAATGTAATAATTAATTTTAAAATTATTTGATATGATTAGAATAGTTTAATTAGGTTTTATTAGGCTTTATTTAGACTATTTTAGTAGAAATTTTGGATAAACTTGAAACTCATTTTAATGATTTGGACTTTGGACCACAAACATATTCAACCAAGCCTTACCCAACTTGATTGATACTCTAAAACCTGATTCATACAATGATTTTTATAATTAATTTTACTCCACGGGGAACTTTGTGCCGTGTTGCGCCATTTGCCATTGACAAGTATGTTCATAATCAAGAGAGTTGCTTAGGAAAGTTCCTAATTAAGAAAAATTATTTAGGTAGGTTCCTAATCAGGGGGGGGGGGGGGTTGTTTAGAAAAGTTGGGGGGGGGGGAGTTGTTTAGAAAAGTTCCCTAATTGTGTTTATGCTATTTAGGAAGTGTTTAATTATTTAGGAAGGTTTCATAAAATATGTTTAATTATTTAGGATGGTTTCCTAAAATATGTTTAATTGTTTAGGAATATTTCCTAAATCATATTTAATTGTTTAGGAAAGTTTCTTAAATCATGTCTAATTATTTAGGAAGGTTTCCTAAATTATGTTTATGTTGATTAGGAAGGTTCTATTTATTTAGATAGGTTTCCTAAATTATGCTTATGTTGATTAGGAAGGTTCTAATTGTGTTATGGTATTCTAGGGCTATTTAAGAGGGAATTTGTATATGATTTAGGGAGGAGATTGCTGAGTTTATTTTCCTAATGTTTGTTGTGAGTTCCTAGCGGAGTCTAGGGTTTGTGGGGGAGCTGATCTACCTCTCAAATAGTAGATCAATTTTATCTTGCTTTAATTTTGAAGGAGAAATAAAAAAATCATCCCTATCTTTGTGTTCCTATGCTGTTCTTCTTTTTTGTTTGTTGTTTTTAATTTTAAGGTGTATCAAATTGATATTAGAGCAAGGTTTTTTGAGAAATGATAACAAAGAAGGTGGATGCATTGGAAGGCAAAGTGGAACAAATCAAATTCCAGATGAAGGAAAAGTTTTCAATCATCAAAGGATAGATCTCAACTATGGAAGGAAGACTCTCATCCATTGAGAACCGCTTTGAGAACCACTTTGAGAAATTGGAGGATATGATAAAGAAGATCAAGATGCAGTTTAAAGCTTCACCGACGATTCCTAGGGCAAAATCAAAGAGAAAGGAAATTATGGAGGAGATGATGTGAAAGCTCATGGAGATGCGATCCAAAACCTCATCGATTGTTCTAATTGCTAACTCTAATCAAGATTGATTGGGATTCCCTTGGTCAAACATGAAGGAAAAAAGATCGGACGAAGAGAGATCCTTTCATCAAGAGACACCTCTTAGGGATCTGATAGGGGCAAAATAGTGTTTCCAGATGGGGGGGGGACAACAAGAAAAGTTTTGTGATGGAGGTGGTGGGGTGATCGACCAATGTGGGAGATCTTTTGGGCAAGGGGAGTGGACGATCAGAGAAGGGGGGGACAAGCCGAGCCATGGGAATCAAGTTATGTGAGGTGGGCGGAAGAAAGGTTCGATTCTCACCCTCGATACATGGGGAAAATAAGGAGGGATCACGACAACTGCTACCCCGGGGGATGAAGAAGCTATTGGAGCGGTGACGAGTTTAGGATAAGAAAATTGAAGATGTGAATGATTGAGGAGAATAAGAGTGATAGTTCAATAAGTGATGCACAAGCTCCTTCCGAGGATAAATTGATCGACAAAAATGTGAATGAAGAGGGCAAATAAATGAACTTGCAAAGCTGATGCTATCAAGAATTTATGTACTTTTTATTTTATTTGAACAATAGTATATTTTATTTTCTTTTCTTTTTTAGCTATCCAATGATGGGAAAGCATCCAATGATCATGGTAGGTAGTGCATATGGCTTGGTTGACCTTTGGTTTGCTGGCTCGATTAGTCCCTGGCTGCTGGTGGTTCACGGGTTGGTTGTTTTGGAGCATTCAGTTTTGAGCTTGATCTCTAAGTTGCTTGAGATGAAGTTTAGTAGCTCATTAATATCCAAAAAGGTACATCATTATGAAGCTTACTTTTGGAGTGGCCTTATCCCTTCCCCTTTTCTTCTTGTCTCTTGGGATTTCGTGGCTTGTATTTTATGGGGGTTGAATTCTATGCTAAGAATTCATTGGGAAGTTATTGATTTTCCTTTGGGAATTCAGCCAGTCTTTGTTTTCCCGATGCTTTGCTGCTTTGGATTCTGGCGGGCTGCTTGCTTTATGGCTCCTTGGTGCCGTGAATTACCAATGTTTCCTGTATCTATTCCTTCAGAATTAATAAGGGGCTGATTTCCGAAATGGGATGCTTTTTCCCTGCTTGCTTTATGGCTCCTTGGTGCCGTGAGTTACCAATGTTTCCTGTATCTATTCCTTCAGAATTAATAAGGGGCTGATTTCCGAAATGGGATGCTTTTTCCCGTTACTGTGCTGCTTTGAAATTTCCGCCTGTTTGCTGGTGCCTTGGTTCCGTGAGCTGCTGGGTTGATTTT